AACTGCTGCCTAAAACTTCTCCAGAAGGCCCAGAAGTGATTAGGGTCCGCAAAACGGCTGCCGGAACCTTCGCCAGAAGGCCCAGAAGGGATGTGAGAAACTGCTGCTTCAACCTTCTCCAGCAGGCCCAGAAGTGATTAGGCCTAACACTTTGCTGTGGGTCCCGCATCAGGTGTAGTCACGGGGTAAACCTGCTTAAAGTGCTCTCCACAAAAAATCGGCCGTTGCGCGGGGCTCTGAGTTATCAGGCCCCTTGACTCTCACACTTGACGCGCGGTTGGCTGCAGACCGTTAAGCAGCCCTGGGGGCCTTAAACTGCTCCGAGCTCCGCGCTGCGTGCGGCCTGATACTTGCACTGCAGGGGGAGACTCGGGGAGACCGTGAGCGAACCTGTGTAATCATTCTAGCGTGTGAGTCCTGCCTCATCAAGAAACTCGCGCCAATCCGGCAGGTTTGGGTTGTCTGGCAAGGGGGCGGTACACAGTAGCTGTAAAAAGCGCAGCTATGCTGTTGAACGCCGCCTGTTCTTTGCGCAAACTACTGAAACCTTCTCTGGAAGGCCCAGAAGCGATCAGGTCTCTCTAAAACTGCTGCCTAAAACTTTCCCGGGAGGCCCAGCAGTGTTTCAGCCTCCGAAGGCTTCCAGGCGCTACGTCACCAAGCTAAGCGTGCCAAGCCGACAGGCTCCCGGTACCTGGGAAGCACATGAGCCAAGTGCCAGCCAGCAGCCTTTGGGGCTCTTGCGCCGTCTCAAAAATCGGCCGCTGCGCGGGGCTGTAAAAATATGGCCTCTTGCAAGCAGCGCTCCAGGCCCGCCCTATGGCCATGAGGTCGAGCCTCAAAACTTTCGGCGCAAACACAAGGAGCCTCCAAATAGGGTACTCCCCTAAAAGCTATGTGAGGACGCCCGGACTCACATAGCGCGGATGGCAGCATTGTGTAGCCACACCAGCCCCTTGCCTGCCCCCGCTCGGGGGGGGGCGCCCTTTCTGGCACTCTGTGTGCATGGAGCCTTTGTGCGCGTTCGTACCTTTCTTTCAGTGTGCTTGCAACTTTCTTGTCAACCCAAAAGGAGTCCTGAGTGCTATGCTTTTGCTACGGCCCTGGCGCTTGTGTGGGGACTGTCTCTACGGACGCGTTGAGCAGTTTAGGTGACGGAGGTTCCTTGCCTTACGGCCTACCCATACTTTCGCTTAATGTCTGTACCAGACGTGGCGCAGCATTGCTATGGGTGACGGGCAGCTGAGTGATTGGTGCCGGTAGGTTCTTGTTTGCATTGGTCTCACCTCGCTGGCCTTGCGTTAAGTTGTCTTGCAATAGGGGCCTCTGCGCTAGCGGTTGCTTCTTTGTAGTCGCGACTTCTTTTACGCTCGCTGGCTTGTACAGTTTGACTCTCAAAGTAGTTGTCTCGGTCACAAGAGCGGCCTACTGTGCTCCTGATGTAGTAAAGAGGCGCCCGCTGAAAAAAAAAACTAGGCCGGCAGGCCCATGTGATCAATAAGCCAATCCGGATCACCAATCACCAGCGGCCACACCGGGTCCTTGCGGGTGCGCGCTTGACGCACCGTCAAGGGGGTGCCCAATCGTAAAACGGGCGCAATCGTAACCACAGTATTTGGTGAACTGCGAGGAGAACTGCGAGGAGGGGCGCAAAATCTCCTCGGTCAGTGCAGGTTGGGGGTTGCCTTGTAAGCTAAAAACCATGTCGGACGCCACGGTCAAAGTTCTCCACATCCTTCTCGCCGCCATAGACTGCACTGGGCCGAGGGCCACGAACGCCTGAAAATCAGGCTGTGGCGACATACAGGCAAGCAAGTAAGCGATAGTGCCTCCCGCCCCTATCCCACTCACAAACTTGTCTCTGCTCGCGCATGACCGTGTATGTTTGCAAAGAGATTGTGATGTACTGCGACTCAGACCACGCTTGGTTGCCTTATTACGCGGAGGTCAACCACGGGACTAGTGACAATGCTTGGATCGCACTGCGTGAAACACTCAAGCAACGATCTCTCTTTCGAGTGGAGAGAGTGAGTTTTACGCTGTAGTTCGAGCAGGATCAATGGGTCTGTCGCTACAGGCGATGCTAGAAGACTGGGGATTGAAGGTCGGTCTGCGGATTCGATCTGATTCCTCGGCGGCCTGAGGCACTACCCAGCGCCAGGGCCTGGGTCAAGCACGCCACGTGCAAACAAGATACTTGTGGGTGCAAGAGAGAGTCGCCGCGCGAGCTCTGGAGCTAGAGCGTGTAGGCGCGGAGAAGAACTACTCCGACATCTGCACCAAACCAATGCCCGAAGTGGCAATGCTCAAACACCTCAAGAACATGGGATTGCGTTTTCATGTTGGACGAGCCGGAGCAGCCAAACGGCTCGTGTGAATGACCACCTGGCTTAGGAGGGGTGTTTAGATTTGTAGGTGTCACACAACATGTTTCACAATGAGTGAGCACACACATGCGACATTGGCTCAAGCCGTCAAAAGTGATTGCACCTGCAGTGTTAGTTCTGCCTTAAACTCCGTTCATCGTTTGTGTGATTTTACTTGAAGCATGTGTTTATCCTGCTTCAATTATTTAGTTTCCTCACATTGCACTCTACAAATTTGGTCATAAAATTGCTTATATACATATATTGTAGTATGATATATTCTTTAACATTTGTTTAACATATAAAAAAGTTTCTTAATATTTTTTCAAATTTTCACAACTCGAAGGGCAAATATGGGCGCTTATCTCCTTTTAATTAAAGCAATCTTTGAGAATGTTTTTGTTCTATTCTGTCTACTTCTTCTGTTTCAGGTTTCCACACTCCGATCCTTCCTTTTGCTCATACTTTCCTTGTCCTTTAAGTTTTAATTTTACTGCGCGTTGATATTTCGGGATATTGTCGTGTTTTGGTTGCTTGGTTGTCATGTTCTGCTTTGCCTTCAGTTCGTTCTTCTTTTTCATTGCGTCTTTCGGCGTCATTTATTGGTTGAATGTTCCATTCATGTACTAGTTGAATGTTCCAGTTTATTATTTTAGGTGAGCAATATCTCAAAAATATAACCCGTCCAGTGAATATTTGTTTTACCTCGTTTTTTTTCACCTGCTTCCACTCTCTCATAAAGCATATCCGTACATGTTCTAATTGCTCTCTCGCTAAAATTTCCAAGCGCTGTCGTTCTGTGATGCTGTATTCCCTCCTTGTCTGGTACATTACACTCGGCGGGTGTTGCAAGTCAGGCATACTAAGGCCTATACCGCAACCACTAGGCAAGGATTGCAATCTCCACATCAAACTTGACAAACGTAAAGAAAAACGACACTTTAAAAACCACAAAGAACTCAGCGATGAACGCCTTCACGCGGAAGATCGTGCATGGCCTCAATGATCGACTAGCCGTCAGCACGAGGGCGAGACGTGGGATCCACTAAGCGAGAAGATACACGCCCGAGAAAGGGTCACCGCCAAACAATTTCACCAGCCAGTAGTAGACAAAAGCAAGGTGAAATTCACCAAAGAACACCCGGAAAGTGCAGAAAAAACATCAGCATCATGGTAAAGCTGCGCCAAACCGTACAAACATTGCATCCCACCTGTCCAGCAGATCCATCACCGAAACAGGCAGCAACTAAATCCATAACGGAGAGCACTACCCAAGAAGTCAACCACTACAACCTCCATGAGAAGGAAGAGAAGGACGTCTTCGTCACAGATTCCGCTGCATTGCACCGAGGAGACCATGAAGTTAGCACTTACAGCCGGGCCTGCTGTGCACGAGCCCAGTCCATGTCACAAAATAGGCGAAATAAATAAACAAGTCATCAACAGCAACACTTTCTGCACAAATGCCCCAGATACCACTGCGGGTTGCATCATCCATCTCCAGTAGGAGCAGTTGTACGAGGGCCCTGTCGATGGATAACCGCATGCAGACTAGACATTGTAGGACGCAAGCCTGTGAGGTGCTACATTTCCCTCATCCTTGTTTTTGATAGGGACTACCGCCATAAGCCTACTAAAAACATCAATCACTATTGCTCCACCCTGAATTTTTTGAGTTTCAAGGTCATTTACAAAAAATGCTCCGAGCACCTGTTTAATTGTGGGGGGCCCCCCCCTTTCCCCGCCACAATAAGAAGGGCAGGGTTCCGCAACAGTAAGACCATGGCCCTGTATTGATTCTCTCTCAAAAACAATAAGCCGCCGCAGATCCCTGAGGTGCTGCAGCTTCGCGGCTCAGCAAGCAAAACAAGAAGCCTGCCGACAGATTTTGGAACCCCCCCGAAAACATTTTTTTATATGTGGTGGTATTGGCCCATACGAAATCCACCGTAATGGAAAGTAGTCTTCCGGCGGGCTTCTCGGCGAAAAACATTTCTTTGAATAAACAGGTGCTCGGACTAAGTCAAATTGAAACTCGTAAAATCGTTCTGGTGCTCAACATGTGAAAAATTTGACAGTCCTTGACTTGGTAATGCAACCCATATTTGAAGTTCGTGCCCGTCAACTTTGTGTTGAGCATCATCGAGAATGCTGATAGGATACTTGAAGACTTCTGTAACTTGCTTTAGGTACAAAATCTTGGGCAACTCGAGTGCACCGGTGGCTCGATGAGAAACACTAGTCACTAGGAACTACAAAGATTGGCGACTTCTTTTACAATTTGATCGCGCCGTACCTATATTTATGAGCTGATTGATTTGCTGGTCAAGAATTCCAACAGTGCCTTCAACATAGATTAGGATAGGCTCCGATTCCTTTATGATCCCAGGTCCACGCAGAAGCTGACGGTTGATCTTGATGCCAGTCGGTCCCCTCCTTTTAAATTTTTATCAAAGATGAATACTACCGTAATACCGCATGCTCTCTTTTTTCTTTCTTTTCGCTATCAAGATATGTGCAGGTTTCAAGACAATGCACATCTTGCAACATGAGGACATGCGGTTTGCTTAATTTTCTGCAAACCAAGGCAGGAACATCGCCACTGTTGTAGGCGTTTCTGAATGCACAGAGCACCTAGATTTGCGCAAGCGGATTCGCCAGGTCGACAATGTGCTTGAGGCTGATCCCTGGAGGGTCGAACACTCTGATGCCAGTTGCCTCTGCATAGGCATCGGCTTGAGAAAGACTGCCAATGTTTTTAATCTCCAAGGTAACCACAAACTTTTTGGGAAATCCATCTTCTTCAACTGTCACAACTGATTGTGCGGTGGAAAAAAGCAACGCGGTGCCAGCGAAATATTCGCTCGCAACCTTGAATGCGATTCCACAAAGTTCCTTCGCAACACACTGCAGGCGGTATTGCGCAGGCTTCATCTTTATGCGACAACGACTGTATAAGTGCAAAATAGGATCCCACCAATTGCGCCTTCCGCCGAACCTATCTGACCTTTCCAGAAACTGCGGGTCTTGAATCTTGAGTAAGTACAACTTGGTGGGCTGCCCGTACGGGGACCAGTGTACGCGTGAGCATGTCGAGGGAAACCGCCTCTGGGAACAGTGCCCCAGCAAGTGAACCCCTGACCTCCACGGCAAAGGCCCAATGCCGAAGCAGACCTTGCTGAGCAACTGGGTCAGGTGCATGCTGACGCTGAGGCCTTCGCCGAGAAGTGCCTCGCCAAACCCAGAGTCACTTCCGATGCATTCCATGTCATAGCGAACCCCAATCAAGCAACCTTAAACATTTTCTTCAGTACAGAAGCATATGTACACGGTGATGTTCTGGGCCTCAGAACACATGCGAGCTATTCGCATGCTCACGCAGTTCGCCCGGGACTGGGTGGGCACCACGCTCTTCACTTCATTGGCCCTCTTCAATAAAATCCAGACGTGTGCACTCCGCCCGCAATAATGCTTTGAGGTATGATAATTCCTGATTGGGGTTAGCGCTGTCAATGGGGGCGAGCACTGGTTAGAGGACCCCACCGGTCCGTGCCCGGCCCACTCGCTCGCCACATCAGCATCTTCTTGGCCATTGTCTGCCCGTTGCCCAAACTTGTGTCTCCTTCGATGCGGGTCAACGTCATGCCACCATGCCATGGGTCGGACATCGCGTTGTGCTTGCAGCAGGGTTTGTGGTCAAAAGGGTTCGGGCCTTAGCTTAGGGTTTACTGGCGACGTCGTGTGCCATGGTGATCTGGCTACAGTCGAATGCCCTTCGTTCGTCGCGCCGCCATGTCGCACGGGCTGCGTCACTGCGTGCCTTCGCAAGTTAGGCTTTTCTTCGTTTTTCGGTATCGATCACGTCCATGTCCCGCAGTTCGTTTAATGACATTGGAAGGGTGCAGTTGCCTCGATGCTGACCGCTCTTCCAGGTGAAGGAACTGCCGTTTTAGGAACCTCTTCAGCTGGAGGATGGGACACACGCGGACTTCACACGCGGGATATTCTCGGAATGCTTACGCCTCCCCTCTCTGACCCAACTGCGCGCACCCTTTACGGGGTGCTCCACTTGCGTTGTTTGGCACTTCTGCCACCTACTCGGATCTTCGCGTGAGGGCTGACCGCAGACCGCACTGTGACTGGTTTTCTTGCTTGTCCACGCCGCTCCGCGCCTGCCGCGGCAAAGCAAACAAAAAGGCGCAGCAAAACCAAAAAAACGCTCCCCCTCCCCCACCCCCACCCCACCCCCCTCCGCCCCGCAGCAAAAGAATCGCATCCCCCCCTCCCCCCTTCCCACCCTCCCCCCCGCACACCAAAAGAAAAACGCATCCACGCGCTCTGCGCCAGAAAGAAAAAGGAACGCGGCCCCGCACCCGCAGCAAGAAAACCACCCGCCCCCCCCCCCCCACCACCCCCTCCGCACCCGAGAGAAGATAGAGACAACAACAACAACAACAACAACAACAACAACAACAACAACAACAACAACAACAACAACAACAACAACAACAACAACAACCACAACAACCACAACAACCACAACAACCACAACAACCACAACAACCACAACAACCACAACCACAACCAACACCAACAACAACCAACAACAACCAACAACAACCAACCACAACCAACAACAACCAACCACAACAACAACAACAACCAACACCAACACCAACAACCAACACCAACACCAACAACCAACACCAACACCAACAACCAACACCAACACCAACACCAACACCAACACCAACACCAACAACCAACACCAACACCAACAACCAACAACCAACACCAACACCACAACCAACAACCAACAACCAACAACCAACAACCAACACCAACAACCAACACCAACACCAACAACCAACACCAACAACCAACAACCAACACCAACAACCAACACCAACACCAACACCCAACACCAACACCAACACCCAACACCAACACCCAAAACCAGCAACCAACACCAGCAACCAACACCAACAACAAACACCAACACCAAACACCAACACCAAACACCAACACCAAACACCGAACACCAAACACCAAACACCAACACCAACACCAACACCAACAACAACACCAACACCAACACCAACAACAACAACAACAACAACAACAACAACAACAACAACAACAACAACAACAACAACAACAACAACAACAACAACAACCACAACCACAACCACCAACCAACAACCAACAACCAACCAACAACCAACAACCAACAACCAACAACAAACAACAAACAACAAACAACAAACAACAACCAACAACCAACAACCAACAAACAACAAACAACAAACAACAAACAACAACCAACAACCAAAAACCAACAACCAACAACCAACAACCAACAAACAACAACCAACAACCAAACAACCAACAACCACAACCAAAAAACCAAACAAACCAAAACCCAACACACCAACAAACCAACAACCAACAACCAAAAACAACAACCAACAACCCAACACCACACCAACAAAACCAACAAACCAACACCAACAACCAACAAACCAACAACCAACAACCAACAAAAAAACAAAACCAACAACAACAACCAACAACCCAACAACAACAACCAACAACCAACAAACCAACAACCAACAAACCAAAAACCAACAACCAACAACCAAACACCAAAACCAAACAACAACAACAAACAAACAAACCAACAACCAACAACCAACAACAACAAACAACAACAAACTACCGCAAACAACAACAACAACAACAGCAGCAGCAACAGCAACAGCAACAGCAACAGCAACAGCAACAGCAACAGCAACAAGAAGCAACAATAAGCAACAACAACAAACAACAAACAACAAACAACAAACAACCAACAACAAACAACCAACAACCAACAACCAACAACCAACAACAAACAACCAACAACCAACAACCAACAACCAACACCCAACACCCAACAACCAACACCCAACAACCAAAACACCCAACAACCAACCACAACAACCAACAACCAACACCCAACAACCAACACCAACAACAACCAACAACCAACCACAACAACCAACAACCAACCACAACAACCAACAACCAACCACAACAACCAACAACCAACCACAACAACCAACAACCAACCACAACAACCAACAACCAACCACAACAACCAACAACCACCAACCACCAACAACCAACAACCACCAACCACCAACAACCAACAACCACCAACAACCAACAACCACCAACCACCAACAACCAACAACCACCAACCACCAACAACCAACAACCACCAACAACCAACAACCACCAACAACCACCAACAACCAACAACAACCAACAACCACCAACAACCAACAACAACAACCACAACAACAACAACCAACAACAACAACCACAACAACAACAACCAACAACAACAACCACAACAACAACAACAACAACAACAACAACAACAACAACAACACCAACAACCAACAACCAACAACCAACAACCAACAACCAACAACCAACCAACAACCAACAAACAACCAACAACCAACAACCAACAACCAACAACCAACAACCAACAACCAACAACCAACAACCAACAACCAACAACCAACAACCAACAACCAACAACCAACCAAACCAACAACCAACAACCAACAACCAACCAACCCAACAACCAACAACCAACAACCAACAACCAACAACCAACAACCAACAACCAACAACCAACAACCAACAACCAACAACCAACAACCAACAACCAACAACCAACAACCAACAACCAACAACCAACAACCGCGCTGTCTGCTGCGCTGTCTGCTGCGCTGTCTGCTGCGCTGTCTGCTGCGCTGTCTGCTGCGCTGTCTGCTGCGCTGTCTGCGCTGTCTTCTGCGCTGTCTGCGCTGTCGTCTGCGCTGTCGTCTGCACTGTCTTCTGCGCTGTCTTCTGCGCTGTCTTCTGCGCTGTCTGCTGCGCTGTCTTCTGCGCTGTCTTCTGCGCTGTCTTCTGCGCTGTCTTCTGCGCTGTCTTCTGCGCTGTCTTCTGCGCTGTCGTCTGCGCTGTCGTCTGCACTGTCTTCTGCGCTGTCTTCTGCGCTGTCGTCTGCGCTGTCGTCTGCGCTGTCGTCTGCGCTGTCTGCGCTGTCTGCGCTGTCTGCGCTGTCTGCGCTGTCTGCTGTGTCTGCTGTGTCTGCTGTGTCTGCTGTGTCTGCGCTGTCTGCGCTGTCTGCGCTGTCTGCGCTGTCTGTGCTGTCTGCGCTGTCTGCGCTGTCTGCGCTGTCTGCGCTGTCTGCTGTGTCTGCTGTGTCTGCTGTGTCTGCTGTGTCTGCTGTGTCTGCTGTGTCTGCTGTGTCTGCTGTGTCTGCTGTGTCTGCTGTGTCTGCTGTGTCTGCTGTGTCTGCTGTGTCTGGCGTTCCGGTCCTCCGGACGCTTCTGCCGGTGCACCGCCTGCTCCGGGAGCGCCTGCTCCAGGCCCTGGAACTCGTTCCCCATGTCCGTGGTCACCACGTAGTTGCCCTGGTCCTCCACCAGCTTCGGGATGATCTCGGCCGCCGCCCGGGTCACTGTTTTCGTGTGCTTGTTCGGCAGGGTCTTCGTGGCCACCTCCCGCGTGAAGACGTCCGTGACCACGAGCCCGTACTTCTGCTCCCCCCGCGTGTTCTGGCTGAAGTCCACCAAATCAGCCTGGAGCCGGTCGTTCGGCCCCTCGGCCGCGCTCTTCCCCAAAGACCAGCAGACAGCGCAGCAGACAGCGCAGCAGACAGCGCAGCGCAGCAGACAGCGCAGCGCAGCAGACAGCGCAGCAGACAGCGCAGCAGACAGCGCAGCAGACAGCGCAGCAGACAGCGCAGCAGACAGCGCAGCAGACAGCGCAGACAGCGCAGACAGCGCAGACAGCGCAGACAGCGCCAGACAGTGCCTGACAGCGCCTGACAGCGCCAGACAGCGCCAGACAGCGCCTGACAGCGCCTGACAGCGCCTGACAGCGCCTGACAGCGCCTGACAGCGCCTGACAGCGCCAGACAGCTAGCGCCAGACAGCGCCTGACAGCGCCTGACAGCGCCTGACAGCGCCTGACAGCCCTGACAGCGCCTGACAGCGCAGACAGCGCCTGACAGCGCAGACAGCGCCTGACAGCGCAGACAGCGCCTGACAGCGCAGACAGCGCCGGCCTGACAGCGCAGACAGCGCCTGACAGCGCAGACAGCGTCTGACAGCGCAGACAGCGCCAGACAGCGCAGACAGCGCCAGACAGCGCAGACAGCGCAGACAGCGCAGACAGCGCAGACAGCGCAGACAGCGCAGACAGCGCCTGACAGCGCAGATAGCGCCTGACAGCGCACCCAGAGCTTCCATTCTTGCTTAAATAAGGTTGTCTTGCTTAAATTTTTTTGTCTGCCTTAAATAGACGTTTTTCTAAGCTAATTAGACAAGAATTTTTTAAATAAGGAAGAATAAACGCATTATTGACTATTTAGAAGGTTTTACTCCTTAATTAAGAGGTTTTTCTTGCTAAATAAGGATTACATCTTAAATTTAGCAAAGACAAAAACAACCAGAAAATTACCATCTATTTAGTGTTAAGCAGTAATTTTTTTCACATAAATTTTGTGTGATCGACGATGCATGTGCCACGATGGGCTACAGCTCTTGATCGGTTTGATCTCGTCGCTCCGCCTAAAATAATGTCGGGGGACCGAAGAAAGAACACGGCCAGTGGCAAAGACATAGCCCCGTTGCTACAGGCAGCTTTTGGTACTGAGGGACCCAAAGCAGGGGAGTTCCCCAGCACAGGGCTTCAGTTTTTGGAAGTCCATGAGTTTCTCATCAAGGAACTTTTGCTGGCCACACCGAGAGTCACTGCTGGATTGGTTCAGGAAGGTTGCAATGCATGCTTTCAAGGCCTGGATCAAGCAGTGGCCATCTCGTTCAGTCAAGTGGTGGCAAGTGCTTGCAAGTTGGTGTGGGACAAAAAGGGCCAGGTACTGAATGGTAAGAAGCTCAAGCCGGATGCTTTGAGAAGGTTGGTCATGGTGCTGGCCGGGCCCAGGAGGTCTCTTGAGCAAGGGACGTTTTTGAAGAAGCAAAAGGAGAGTGCCTCAGGCTCTGGCTCCCGCCTGTCCACTGGATCAACAGCCAGCTCCTCTGGAGGTGCTTGTCTTGAGAGCGAGCTCGGTGCCTTGGCAGCCTCCTATGGCTTGCCAGCAGTGCCGGCCAAGGCAAATGCTCTTGTCCCGCCAGTTGGTGTTTCAGATGACGAATCGCCAAATGCACCAGCTGCAATGGAGATTTCCTCCTCGGAGGAGGTGCCCAGCAGCAGTGCCAAGAGCAAGGCGAAAGCTTCTGCCCCTCAGCAGCAGCAAGCGGCCAGCAGCAAGCGGCCAGCAGCAAGCCACCAGCCAGCAAGCGGCCAGCAGCAAGCGGCCAGCAGCAAGCGGCCAGCAGCAAGCGGCCAGCAGCAAGCGGCCAGCAGCAAGCGGCCAGCAGCAAGCGGCCAGCAGCAAGCGGCCAGCAGCAAGCGGCCAGCAGCAAGCGGCCAGCAGCAAGCGGCCAGCAGCAAGCGGCCAGCAGCAAGCGGCCAGCAGCAGCAAGCGGCCCGCAGCAAGCGGCCCGCAGCAAGCGGCCCGCAGCAAGCGGCCCGCAGCAAGCGGCCCGCAGCAAGCGGCCCGCAGCAAGCGGCCCGCAGCAAGCGGCCCGCAGCAAGCGGCCCGCAGCAAACGGCGGCAGCAAACGGCCGGCAGCAAGCGGCCCGCAGCAAGCGGCCCGCAGCAAGCGGCCCGCAGCAAGCGGCAGGCAGCAAGCGGCCCGCAGCAAACGGCCCGCAGCAAACGGCCGGCAGCAAACGGCAGGCAGCAAAGGGCAGGCAGTAAACGGCAGGCAGCAAAGGGCAGGCAGCAAAGGGCAGGCAGCAAAGGGCAGGCAGCAAAGGGCAGGCAGCAAAGGGCAGGCAGCAAAGGGCAGGCAGCAAAGGGCAGGCAGCAAAGGGCAGGCAGCAAAGGGCAGGCAGCAAAGGGCAGGCAGCAAAGGGCAGGCAGCAAAGGGCCGGCAGCAAAGGGCAGGCAGCAAAGGGCCGGCAGCAAAGGGCCAGCAAGCAGCCGGCAGCAAGCAGCCCGGCAGCAAGCAGCCCGGCAGCAAGCAGCCCGGCAGCAAGCAGCCCGGCCGGCAGCAAGCAGCCCGGCCGGCAGCAAGCAGCCCGCCCGGCAGCAAGCAGCCCGCCCGGCAGCAAGCAGCCCGGCCGGCAGCAAGCAGCCCGGCAGGCAGCAAGCAGCCCGGCAGCAAGCAGCCCGGCAGCAAGCAGCCCGGCAGCAAGCAGCCCGGCAGCAAGCAGCCCGGCAGCAAGCAGCCCGGCAGCAAGCAGCCCGGCAGCAAGCAGCCCGGCAGCAAGCAGCCCGGCAGCAAGCAGCCCGGCAGCAAGCAGCCCAGCAAGCAGCAGCAGCCCGGCAGCAAGCAGCCCGGCAGCAAGCAGCCCGGCAGCAAGCGGCCCCGCAGCAAGCGGCCCCGCAGCAAGCGGCCCGCAGCAAGCGGCCCGCAGCAAGCGGCCGGCAGCAAGCGGCCGGCAGCAAGCGGCCGGCAGCAAGCGGCCGGCAGCAGCAAGCGGCCGGCAGCAAGCGGCCGGCAGCAAGCGGCCGGCAGCAAGCGGCCAGGCAGCAAGCGGCCGGCAGCAAGCGGCGGGCAGCAAGCGGCGGCAGCAAGCGGCGGCAGCAAGCGGCGGCAGCAAGCGGCGGCAGCAAGCGGCGGCAGCAAGCGGCGGCAGCAAGCGGCGGCAGCAAGCGGCGGCAGCAAGCGGCGGCAGCAAGCGGCGGCAGCAAGCGGCGGCAGCAAGCGGCGACAGCAAGCGGCGACAGCAAGCGGCGACAGCAAGCGGCGACAGCAAGCGGCGACAGCAAGCGGCGACAGCAAGCGGCGACAGCAAGCGGCGACAGCAAGCGGCGACAGCAAGCGGCGACAGCAAGCGGCGACAGCAAGCGGCGACAGCAAGCGGCGACAGCAAGCGGCGACAGCAAGCGGCGACAGCAAGCGACGACAGCAAGCGACGACAGCAAGCGACGACAGCAAGCGACGACAGCAAGCGACGACAGCAAGCGACGACAGCAAGCGACGACAGCAAGCGACGACAGCAACCGACGACAGCAACCGACGACAGCAAACGACGACAGCAAACGACGACAGCAAACGACGACAGCAAACGACGACAGCAAACGACGACAGCAAACGACGACAGCAAACGACGACAGCAAACGACGACAGCAAAAGACGACAGCAAAAGACGACAGCAAAAGACGACAGCAAACGACGACAGCAAAAGACGACAGCAAAAGACGACAGCAAAAGACGACAGCAAACGACGACAGCAAACGACGACAGCAAACGACGACAGCAAACGACGACAGCAAACGACGACAGCAAACGACGACAGCAAACGACGACAGCAAAAGACGACAGCAAAAGACGACAGCAAAAGACGACAGCAAAAGACGACAGCAAAAGACGACAGCAAAAGACGACAGCAAACGACGACAGCAAACGACGACAGCAAACGACGACAGCAAACGACGACAGCAAACGACGACAGCAAACGACGACAGCAAACGACGACAGCAAACGACGACAGCAAACGACGACAGCAAACGACGACAGCAAACGACGACAGCAAACGACGACAGCAAACGACGACAGCAAACGACGACAGCAACAGCAACAACAACAGCAACAGCAACAGCAACAGCAACAGCAACAACAACAACAACAACAACAACAACAGCAACAACAACAGCAACCCGCACCCGCAGCAAAAACCGCGCCCCGCACTCGCAACAAAAACAACACCCGCAGACAAAACAAAAGTACTCTTACCGCAGGCCTAGCATGAGATGTGAACAACTGGGATGCATCTTTGATGGTGACAAAGCCTCGTTGTTTTGCTGTAGCTGTAGCAGCCATCCAGTGCCTCAAAGTCGTGCCACGCTCAGCGATTAGATCCCTCAGCGAGCCATGCAGAATCAGACACTCCTCTTGCAGGCCAGGAAGCCTGACACCCAACAAATTTCGGTGCAGCATTGTACTGTACTGCACCACACTACCGTGGTCTGCATGATACCCATACTTGTACCGTTTGTCTACTCCACTGTCCATCTTGTTGAAACTTGATCTCCCGTGATGCCATGCTCCAGGACTTTACCTGCGTAGCCTCCACAGTTTCATCACAGAACCTGTGAGACAAGATTCGGTTTGGGTTTGCCGATTCCGAGTTGCATCTTTTTCCAGGTGTAGAGCTGCAAAAAGAAACTCGAAGGATTCAGATCTTCAATGTCCAGTAGGTCTGAAGGCTCCACAGAATCGCTGTATGAACAACCCATTATCGCATTTCAGGGGCAAACCATGAGGTTCCTGAGCCTCCTGAAGATATGTAGTCTTGTGAAGTCTAGTACGTATAGTTTTGTATAGTATTGCATTGCATTGCACTGTATTGTACTGTATTGTATTGTATTGTACTCCCAGAGCGAAGAAGTTCCCACATGCACTTGGCAGGCAGATCCTTGCACCATGGAGACCGGCGAGGCAGAGCGCAGGCCTGTTAGGGCCTGCGTGGTTGGCTTTCCAGCGCGGCTCCTGTGCTGAACAGTTGAGGATTGCTTCCGTGTCACAGGAGAAGGAAGGGTTCGCTGCTTACTAGGTACGAGGTACGCCGCAGTGGAACAGGGCCTAAGTGTATATGTACACAGTATTTGATAAAACAAAGCAAGGCATAGTATAGCGTGCCGTACTCTGGACGCAGACTTCGAGGGACAGTTTGAGATGCGTTCACGAGGGTTGCCATCTCTTGCGCAGATCACGTTTTATGTATTTGTCAATTCAATTGCCACAACATGCCACAAGCAGAGATAGATTCTAGTATTATTACAGTAGTACATTCGAAGTAGTATAGCAGCATTATAGTAGTATTATAGTTGTATTATTGTAGTATTTATAGTCTAGTAATACTAGAGCAGTATGAAAGTAGCATTATAGTAGCATTATAGTAGTACTATAGTAGTATTATAGTGGTATATAATTACAGTATAGTTGTTTCACAGAAGTACTAGAGTAGTATTTCTGTAGCATTCAAGTAGTATTTCTCGCATCGCTCTCAGAAGTAGGTGTGAGGCTTCTTTCAATGCGGTTTGTGCAGAGGTGGTGGCGTCCAGATTGCTTGTCTGGGAGGGGCTGATGGAGTAATATAGTAGTTCTTATAGAAGTACTAAAGCTGTATTTTTGTAGTATTCAAGTAGTATTATAGTAGAATGAGAGAAGTATTATAGTGTAGTATATTATCGTATTCGACTGGTAGTATTGTAGTACTCTGAGAGCTTGATGATGTAGATGTTTTAGCTTTTGAGGCTGGGCACTCGGAAGTGGAGCCTTGGGGCCTTCTTCATGTTGGTGGTCTTTGTTATCGTGATGCAGGCCGTGCGTCACAATAGCGTTGTTAGCCTCTTGAACCGCAACGCTGGCTGTGACTGGCTTAGTTTGGTGTTTCGGTTTACCGTATGTTGTTCGAAGGGTTGTAGTTTGCTATGCATACCTGAAAACGCAAGAGAGCAAGAAATACTAACTTCAATTGATGGAAACGATGTTGAGATGTTAAACTGCCCAGAGGCCTGTGACACGACAGACCTTAAGTCCCACGCCCGACCTTATGAAAACCAGCTTGCAGAACCGTCGCGCCGCCCAAGCGGTTCCAAGTGGCACCCTGGAGTTCATCGGTGCGAGCACAAAGCGGGACTTGCATTCAATCAGCGCTTGCTATTGCTCAGTAGGGGTCTCTGTGTCTGTTTTCTAGTGCCATGTTCGTGGTTTGTTTTAGGAGTCGCTGATAACAGAACAGCAAGTAAGTAAGTCTCCCAGGTGGCTCGACAAGTTTGGTGAGGTGCCCTCCGCCTTCCAACTCTCAGGGATCGCTTGCCCCTTGAACCACAACGTGAACGGCAAGTACACCTATCAAGGGAACACGGCAGATGGACGCCCCTACTACATGCACAGTGACATTGATTCGTATCTGTACTATGACAAGGAGTGTGATGGCGACGCAGATGGAACAAACAGTCAGTTGAGCGGTTTTTTCTTGAACATGCATAAGCCCTCGATTGTTGCCAAAGAAGATTTAGATGGAGATCGAGACTGCAGGAACGTCGCCTACACGTTGTACCCAACTGCAGAAGAAATCGATCGACTCCTCCCGCCAGAATCGCCTCACATGCACCACAGCGTTGCAGGCGCCCTCCCGCAAGCCAACACTACTTGGAAAGTTTGGTGTGGTGAAAAGACCGGGTGGGTCTATGCAGCCCTGAAGCGCACCGCCGCTGTCTACAACAATCGCGTGGTTTACCCGACTTCCTACAGCACGTCGGACTGCGGGATTTGCAAAGCCGCCAGACAAGGCAACATGGCTGAGGTGCAGAAGTGGCTTCACGCTGATGGATCGATGATTAATGAGACGGACGGAGGCATCACTCCGCTGATGTTTGCGACTTGGGAAGGACATCTCGACGTGGTAAAGCTTCTCATCAACGAAAGTGCCCCACTAGAGGCTGTTGACCTGAACGGCATGACAGCATTGATCCATGCTTGTTCTGCTGGAAGCGCAAAAGTCGCAAAGTTCCTATGCGAACATGGCGCGAACTTGGAAGCGATGGACAACAACGGCCTAACACCTGTGAAGGTTTCGGCTCTGAACGGGCACCTGGACGTGTTAAAAGTTTTGGTGGGTCAAGGTGCACGGCTTGAGTCTGTCGATCGCGAGGGCCTCACTCCCTTGCTCTGGGCCGTTCGGTCAGGGAAGGATATCATGGCCAGGGACCTGATCGAGCAAGGGGCTTCCGTGGAAACTTGGTTTAGGGTTCAATTCTTGCGTCCTTCATACTGATGCATTTCATCTATTGCAAGCGGGCCTGTCCCAGAGTCTATGCTACGCAGTCAGCTCCATCGTCGGAATCCTCTAATGTCCTCAGAAAGTTATGTCCAATCTCATGTGAATCATGTGAGTCATCTTTTTGCCCTCGTAACGCCAACCCAAGGAACCAAGTAGCCATGATGGCATGACGCCGCTACGATGGGCCGTGCAGCGTGAGGATGTGCCGATGCTGAGGACCCTCATTCGGAAGCTGGGCAGATTTTGATTGAAAACGTTGACGTTGGATGGTTTCTTGACAGACGAGCGGCATCTCATCACCTCGAGGAAGTAGGGTTTGCCGAAGGGTGCGAGTAATCATAGTAATCAACAGTTGGGTGTCATTGATGGGTTCAGGGCCAATACCATAATAGTATGCTATTCTGGTAGATTATCATCATATACTGTTGTAGTACGCTACAATAGTATACCCTTTGCTGAACTTGGCTTTTCAACTTACGGCCGCAATTACATGGCTCACCCCAGATTACCTCGCACAGCTCCCTCCGCAAATCCTCCTCATGCATCTGGCAGCCGCGATTTTGTAGGACTTGGCTGGTCATGAAACGCAAAACATAGCTTGCATGCCTGCTGAACCATGGCTACAACACAGCCCCTCGACCACTCACACCAGTAGTTAGCCAAGTCTTTGGTCACCCTGAAGGGTGCATTCGGGTTCATGTAGGTGAGCACATTCACTCCTTCATGGAGTTGCAGCAGACGCCACTATGCCCAACTGTCTTGCATCAGTTCGGAGCAAATTCTGCGGTGGGAAACTAAACGTAAAATCCTACGATGGGACGATAAATCCTAGAGCAAGTCGTGCTTCCTCATGAGACCTACTGGGTCGGACACTTGCATACTACTACAAATCCTGCTTCCTCACGAGACTTACTAGGCGGAATATTAAAGCAAGTCCTGCGACACTAAAGCGAATCCTGTTTCCTCGTGGCTGAAAGCACATCCTGCGGTGGGACATTAAAGCAAGTCCGTGAGTATTGGACACCACGTAAGCGCATATTTCAGGGTATATACGGGGGCACCACCCAGTGCTTGTTTGTTCACAGCTCGGACAAATTGATATCAACAGTTGCAAAATTGTGCAAAGTTTGGCGTTTGGTGTCTCAGCATGATCACCGAGCAAATCACGCAAACCGAGGGAGCAGAACGACTGCGCTGTGATTCCCAACCTGGGCTCAGGTTGCACGATGCTGTGCCCACTCCTCTCGCATGCCTGTGTGTTGCCGTGGCCCAACGCTTCCCTGAACAGACGCCCATCCTAGGAAGCCAGGTTTTTACTTCAATGCTGTAAATTGCCAGCGTGGACCCCAACAGGAGACTATGTGAGCCCAACAGTTTTTTCTCACACCTTTCTACGTCTGCCAAACGAAGAGTCCCAGTCGGGGTGGCGCAGGCTGCCACGGCAGCTCCGTGAGCGGGAAGCGGTGAACATCTTTGAGCATCTCGCGAACCCAGACAAATACGTTCTTAAACAAAACCGTACCGTGGGACACTAAAGCAAATCGCGCTCCCTCATGAGACCTACTGGCTGAGATGCCAAGGCAAGTCCTGCGGTGGGACACTAAAGCAAACACTGCTTGCTCATGAGACCTACAGAGACACTAAGGCAAATCCTATTTTTCTCCATAAGACCTACAAGAGGGACCCCAAAGCAAATCCGTGGTGGGACACGACAGCAAATCCTGCATGCTCCACCCAGTAGGTCTCGTTAGTGCCATCCCCAATAAGTCTCATGTAAAAGCAAAATTTGCTTTAGGGTCCCACCACAAGATGTGCTCGAATGTCCCACCCAACAGGTCTTATGAGAAAGCAGGATTTGCTTCATTGTCCACCTTAGAATGTGCCTTCATGTTCTAGTAGGACTCATGAAGAAGCAGATGTGCTTTAATGTCCCAGGCAGGATGTACTTGAGTGTCCGAGCAAGTCTCATGAGGAAACAGGATTTGCTTTGGTGTCTCGTCTTTAGTGTCCCAACAAGATATCCACCGCATGATTGTTCTTGAAGAAGCAGGACTTACTTTAGTGTCCCACCGCAGGATTTGATTCAGCGTCCCACCCAGTAAATCACATGAAGAAGTAGCATTTGCTTTTAGTGTCCCACCGCAGGATTTGCCTTAGTGCCCCACCCAGTCGGTCACACGGAGGCAAGATTTGTTTTAGTGTTTACTGGCGCACCGCAAGACGTGCCGCGGTGTCCCACCCGGCAGGCCTCATCCCGCAGGATTTGCTGTAGTGTCCCAGCCACTAGGTCTCGAGGAAGCAGGGTTCGCTTTAGTGTCAAGATTTGCTTTAGTGTCCCTGGGTCTCATGAGGAAGCAAGATTTGCCTTAGTGCCCCACCGTAAGATTTGCTTTAGTGCCCCAGCCAGTACCAGGGTTTGATGCATGGAGAGGCGCGTCGCGCGAAACGGATCGACTGTCACATCGTGGAAGGAGTCCGAAGCCATTTCGCGTGCGAGAGGTTCGATGCTCGCGACGTGAAAATCGTCCGAAATGACGGGTTTTCTAACGCTTCACGCGAGAAGTTCGTCGGGCGCTGCGGGGACAATTTAAATGTACATGTGAGTCGAATGTAGGAACTTCGCAGCGGAAAACTGAGGGAAGGCAATCTTTGGAACCTACGGATCTCAAGCCTCTCTGGCTGATGAACTAAGAAGCCTGGAAGATACGGACTTTGACCTTGAGGTTGACGCCACTAGAATACTTTTGTGACAACAGAAAAATAGTCATAAGACTAGAAGCATGACATAAAAACACGCACCTATGACGAGAGAACCGGCCCCCCATTGTAAGATCCCAGCCCAGGGCGAAACCAGAAGGCAAAGATAAACATTTCATTGAAGCGGTGGGGGGGGTCAACACTCCTTACGACAAGGGTTCAAGAGGAAGGTCATGTCTCTAACCGAGGCCCAGATTTTTCAACATAGTATCCGGGGGCGGTATTTCTGGTATCATTTCGGTTTCTGGAACCCAACGGGCTTTGAGCTGTCGGATGAAGCATTGTGATTTCAAGCCTTGTGCTCCAAGGGCGTACGGCACTAAGCATAGAGCTCAAGGCTTTGAGGCTTCTCGCCCAAATTCACCAATTGCCGGGTGCCTGGATTGAAAGAAACTCTGAACTCCAAAACCCTTTTTGGTCCTTACACCCTAATCTAAACCCTAAACCCTAAACCCTGTGAAAACCCTGAGCCTCAAACGTTTTAGGGTCTCGGGCCGGTTTAAAAGCACCACAGTATGGACCCAAGGCCTATTATAGTTGTAGTATTATTATGGCATTATTCTAGTAATAATCTAGTATGATTGTAGTTTTATGATAGTATTATTCTAGTATTCTTATAGCATTGTTAACGTACTGTAGTAACGTTATTATAGTATATTTTCTGTATGATAAAAGTTGTATTATGGCATCATTGTGTTAGTGTTGTATTGTTATTGTACTTGCTTGTGGTATCCCCGTGGTCTCTGCAACCTGAAGATTTCAAGCATCAGGCTGAGATTTTAAGCTTTGGAGCCTGAATCCTGAACGGCTCAAAGGCCTTACTCTAAGTCTTACGATGTCAGCGTTTTCATCATCATCTTGTAAGATGGTTGTCACCCTATGGCCCTGTGAGAGGGATCACTTCAGAAAAGGTAGGCAAAACAGGTCCTACAGTCATGGTGGTTACCAGAACTTAGGCTCATGATTAGGCCTGTCGATAGCAAGCCAGGAACAAGGCATCCTTGGAGACTGTCAGCACCGATGGCCTGACGCCACTGACGCTCCGGCTCGGCATTTATCAGCGTCTCTGTGGTCACTGCTTGGGCACCGTGAACACCTCTGCCTCAGAGAAAGCCTGTTAGCCCTAGCACAGTCAAAAGGCACGTCTGCCATACCACAGCCCGTATTCTGCCGATTGTCTAGTGGGCCGTACGTTGCACTAGTCGAGTTTATCCGCCCGCACACCGGGTTGCCGCGCTAATCTCTCGGCCACACAACAAATGCACGAGGCCTTTGTGCAACCAAGCCTGCTGCTGCGGACTAAGGATGTGGGCAGTCCAGCATTTTTGGAAACGAAAGGTGAAGCTGTTGCTCGACCAGGGTGCGTCAGTGAACAGGAGTGCCAAAGAGTTCACACCAGTAGTTTGGGCGGCAAAGCACTCGGACACGCCTATGGTAAAGTTGCTCATTGAGCACGACAAAGCCTCCGTGAATTCAACGTCCAATGGCTTGACGGCCATGATGTACGCGGCAAAGAGCGGAGCCAAAGGCGTGATGCAGGTGCTACGGGAAGGAGGGGCCTCAGTAAACGCCAAAGGCCAGCTTGGCCAGACACCCTTGATGCTTGCAGCAAAAGCCGGCGACTTGAACGCTTTGCAGTACCTGGTGCAGCACAGAGCGGATCTGGAGGCAGCAGATGACGATGGGCGTACAGCCACTTCCTATGCCAGCAACAGAGCAATCCTACAGTTCTTGAGCTGGAAAGGTGCCGCCCTTCCCTACAACTCTTCGGCATCCCTTTTGCAGGCTGCTGACGAAGGGAACGTGGAGAAAGTTAAGGCAATATTCCATCAGCAGCGTCTGAGCAGAATGAGTTCTGCAAGTATCCTCAAGTTTGATATATGAGTTGTTGCAGATAGAGTATATAACAGCTGACGTGCCAGTTTTGGTGATCTTTTGGCAAAGATGACTAAGACCCGACCAGAGCCGTGCCTCGCTTGAAATGAGGTCCTTTCTTCCGCAGAAGAACATGGGCATGTATGCAACAGATGACAGTGGTATGACCTTGCTGCTTCATGCGGCATTCTATGGCCAGCTACCTGTTGTGAACCTGCTGCTTGAGGAGGGTGTCCGTCTGAGTGTACCAGGAGTCGACGGCCTCACGGCCTTGCAGTGGGCTGCGCTACATGGTTATTCCAACCTCACAGACCTCTTTCTTAAAATGGGAGCACAAAAAGAGGCAACAGGGAGCAACGGGAGCACGCCGCTCATCTTGGCCGCGGCCCACGGGCACCTAGAAGTCATGCGCAACTTGCTCCTGTACCAAGCTCAAGTGGAAGGCACCGGCAATGGGGACCAGACGCCTTTGATGTGGGCGGCCAAAAGCGGCCAGCTGGATGCAGTGAAGCTCCTACAGAGGAATCTGGGTTACGCCTAGTAAGGTACTTGAAGTTTTTCATGCAAACGTTTTAAGATCCATAAGCAACTAGAATTCCTTCGCACCATAACGTCACCAAACAAGTCTTAGCAGCTTAGCAGCGATCCAGGAACGGGGCAAAGCTTCATAAGCGAGATTATCGTGGCTGGACGCCGCTTACTTGGGCGGCAAGGAGTGGAGCAGAACAAACAGTCAAATATTTGTTAGGAGAGGGATCACAGTCTCAGCTGCGTGGCGTGGACGTGAATGGCCGGACGCTACTGATGATAGCTGCTTTGCATGGACATTCCCATGTGGCAAAGCTCCTTGTCGATCAGGGGGCCAAAGTGAATCAAAATGTCAGCAACTTAACGGCCCTGATGTGGGCAGCAGCACATGGCCACCCAAAGATGGTGGAGGCTGGCACCAATTCCGGCTACAGTTTGCATTATGTGGGTGGTGGTGGTGTAGTAGTAGCAGTAGGAGTAGCAGGAGCAGTACCAGTAGCAGTCGCAGTCGCAGTAGCAGTAGCAGTAGCAATAGCAGCAGCAGCAGAGTAGTAGTAGCAGTAGCAGTAGCAGTAGCAGTAGCAGTAGGAGTAGTAGTAGTAGTAGTAGTAGTAGTAGTAGTAGTAGTAGTAGTAGTAGTAGTAGTAGTAGTAGTAGTAGTAGTAGTAGTAGTAGTAGTAGTAGTAGTAGTAAGTAGTAGTAAGTAGTAGTAGTTAGTAGTAGTAAGCAATAGTAGTTAGTAGTAGTAAGCAATAGTAGTTAGTAGTAGTAGTAGTAGTAGTAGTAGTAGTAGTAGTAGTAGTAGTAGTAGTAGTAGTAGTAGTAGTAGTAGTAGTAGTAGTAGTAGTAGTGTTAGTAGTAGTAGTAGTAGTAGTAGTAGTAGTAGTAGTAGTAGTAGTAGTAGTAGTAGTAGTAGTAGTAGTAGTAGTAGTAGTAGTAGTAGTAGTAGTAGTAGTAGTAGTAGTAGTAGTAGAGTAGTAGTAGTAGTAGTAGTAGTAGTAGTAGTAGTAGTAGTAGTAGTAGTAGCAGTAGTAGCAGTAGTGGTAGCAATAGCAGTAGCAGTAGCCGCAGTAGCAGCAGTAGCAGTAGTAGCAGGAGTAGCAGTAGTAGCAGTGGTAGTGGTAGTGGTCGTGGTCGTGGTCGTGGTCGTGGCAGTGGTAGTGGTAGTGGTAGTGGTAGTGGTAGTGGTGGTAGTAGTAGCAGCAGAAGTAGTAGAAGTAGTAGTAGAAGTAGTAGTAGTAGTAGTAGTAGTAGTCGTACTAGTCGTAGTAGTAGTAGTAGTAGTAGTAGTAGTAGTAGTAGTAGTAGTAGTAGTAGTAGTAGTAGTAGTAGTAGTAAGTAGTAGTAGTAGTAGTAGTAGTAGTAGTAGTAGTAGTAGTAGTAGTAGTAGTAGTAGTAGTAGTAGTAGTAGTAGTAGTAGTAGTAGTGGTAGTAGTGGTAGTTAAGTAGTAGTTAAGTAGTAGTTAAGTAGTAGTTAAGTAGTAGTTAAGTAGTAGTTAAGTAGCAGTAAAGTAGTAGTTAAGTAGTAGTTAAGTTGTAGTTAAGCAGAAGTTAAGTAGTAGTTAAGTAGTAGTTAAGTAGTAGTTAAGCAGCAGTAGTAGTAGTAGTAGTAGTAGTAGTAGTAGTAGTAGTAGTACTAGTAGTAGTAGTAGTAGTAGTAGTAGTAGTAGTAGTAGTATGTGAAGTCGACCAGCACTGGACTTGCACTAAGCCAATGCAATCACAGCCCGGTCACGCTGTTTTACGACTTCGCGAGTTCAAGCACTTGTGCAGCTACGCCTGAGTGCGTCCGGTCGGACCGCACAGCAACCTAAGAGCTACTGTACGACTCTACCGTGCTCAAAGGCACAAGCTCAGTACTTGAGCCAAAATATTGGCATTGTTACGAATTGCAAAACTACACATGCAAAGAAAACTACAGTACTGGTTCTGGCAGCTCTGCACATGCAGCGTGCGTGCTTAGACCTGCTCACATTCGCCCCTCAGCCGAGGCTTCCAGCTCATCTCGAGCTCGGAGTGCAGCAGGCACTCGCGCTAACACAGAAAGGAAAGGGAGAGGGTGTCGCGTGCGACCGCGGTGGTCCGCACATCATGAGCATTGGCATGCGGCAGGGACGCTAGCCCGCACCACCACAACGAACGCACGACGACAGCAACCCTCAGCAGCCCTTTCCCCGGAGGTCCTCACCCTTTTGCTGGTGGGCGAGGCTCTTGAATCCTCGAGCTGGTCTCTAGCTGCCAGTACGCAGACTATGGTACAAATGGTACACTGTACAAACTACCGGCCCTAAGCTACGGCTACGGCTACTCACCTATCCAGAACTACCCTACGGGCTACCGGACTCAGCGAGAGCCGCGCACATCGCTTGTGCCGCAGCCAGTGCAACTCGCACGCGCTTCGGCGAGCGCACTGCCGCGACCAGGACACGGTCCGCAGCAGCCGCAACGGGCTGGGAAGAAAAGTGCGGGTAGGCAAAATGGGCAGGGAAAACCCCTGCCGCGGCTCTTCGCCCGCAAGCAAAACACAACCAAAAGAGGCTCGACAGCGTGCCGCGCTGTGATGCCTGAGAAATCGCGTGGAAACCCCTTCCACGCCGCGCCGACTGGCCGCAGCCTACTCGATACCCTGTGGAGCAGTGTTGGGGGCACGAGTGGCGTTGCCAGCCACGTTGGAGCTACTGGCTCGCTCCAACTGAGGGCGCTTTGCAACCGCCTCATCGAGGGAGAATGCCTCTGCCGACACCCTCAGAAAATCCTCGATGTAGGACTGCGCGACCGGGTGCGTCTTGGGGACCTCCAGCCTAAGCCCTGCCTCCGCATTGGCCTTGCTGCTCGTGGTAAAATTGAGGCTCCCAATCAGCACCACCGCGCCATCAGGCCGCAGTAGGCAAAGGGCCTTGGCATGCTGAAGCCCTTGAATCCCAGTGCCTACCTTAGCCCCGCGGCCGTCGCGAGCATAGGCGTCGCGCACGGATGTGCCGCAACCCACCTTCACCTCGGCGCCTGCAGCCGCCAAGCGTTTCAACGCTTGCCACTGCAGTTTGGTGCGGTGGCATTGCCCCATGTCGGCGACAATCCGAACGCCTGCGCCCTTGCTAAGCGACGCTTCGATTGCCTCGATGCAGGATGGGCAATCTAAGCTGTACGCCCGGATGTAAACCACATCCTCTGCTGCTCCAGACCCAAGCAGCGTTTGGGCGGCCTGAACGTATGGCCCGCCCGCAAGGAATTCCACTTCTTTGACTGGAGAACTCCTAGCGGGAACTGGGCCCTTGTTCCTCCGGCTGGGTGTGCGCGCCACAGTGGCAGTGGTGGCACGTTGCACGGAGCCGGACTGTGCGTGGGCTGCGCTCGCTCCATCTGCCGGGGCCGCGGCCAGGTCACGACCCGCGAGCCCCTGAAAGCAGGAGAGCCCGCGGCTCTTGGCCGCGAGTTGGGAGAAACACCCTTCACTGTTCCCCAAACCCAACACCACCTTACCCTTAGCTAGGGCATCGGAGGCGGTACTCCGAATGGAGTCTGTGAGCGCAGGACCCGCGCCTCGCTGGGCCGCGTGCAAAAACCCTAGGGAACGAGCGGTGTCCATTGCGGCATCGCAATGCCCGCAACGTCCCTCTGCCAGGTAAGCACGACAGCCACAGGCAGCTGTCTCCTCCTTGAGGTGCACCCAAACCTTATGGGTCACCCCTTTCTTGGTGCTCGCGACCTCAAACGTCGCTTCAGAGCCAAGGAGTTGAGACAGCCGCGCCACAGGGGCCGCGGTGTTGCCATGTCGCAGATGCGCAATGCGATTGGCAACGGCACGACTCACGTACCACAGAACAGCGCCGCACAAGATCACTACCACCAGAGTGATGGCTGTTCCGGCGACCCACACGGTCCGCCTCGCCCCGTGACCGATTTCCTCGACCACGTCGGCCGAAATCGTTGCAACCGCGTGCATCGAGTCCTCGACAACGTGCACAGCCCCGCGGTGCAGCTGCAAGGCAATCGGCGCCGACGCTGCGGCCGCCAGGCCCCACCAGCCGTTGATGTTCCCGTTGAGGGCATGCATCAACCGATTGAGGAGCCCGCGACCCAGGAAAAGGGGGGTCCGCGGCGGAAGCGGAACACTCGGCGGCGGCCGGGCCGACCCGCGCGGGAAGGCTGGGACCCAGCTTGTGCTTGGGCGGGGCTGGAGCGCGGCAACTATGCCCGCGGCGTAAGCGCCCCAGGCGTACTTGCCCCTCCCCTTGGGCTTGCCCTTGGCATCGGACTTGCCTCTGCCCTTCGGCTTGCCCTGGCCCTTGCCACGGGCGTCTGCCCAAGCACTCCAAGGGTCGCGGCCCTTGCCGTAGGTCGCGTCTTCGCGACGTCGCTTACCACCCCTCTTCTTGTGTTTGTTTCTGAGAAGGGGTTGGATGGTTTCTTCGTCCATCGCACGATTCGCCAAAAGGATCTCGTGCTCCAGCTCGTCCTGGCTGCTTTCGGAGCCGGAGTTCCTTTCCTCGCCGCGCCGCGGATCAGGGATCCCGCGAGAGACGACCTCTGCCAAACGGAGAGGGGTGCTGCAGCGAAAGCACAACTGCCTGAATGAAAGGTTCCATTCATAGCAGTTAGGGCACTGCCACCCTGCAATGCGGAGCGCTTCGCTGATGTGATCATCGCGCTCCGCCTTCTCCGCCTGGCGCCGTTCTCGCTTCTTGGCGCGCTCGGCCGCCTGCGCCTCCTCGGCCGCCTGGAGGGCTTCAGCGAGTTCCTCATCGCTGAGAAGCCTCGCGGCATCTGCCCGCGCTTGTTGTTCTTCAAGCTCTTCGGCAGAAAACCTCCGCCTCCACTGCTCTGGCGCGGTTTGAGGGTCGACCTCCCACCACCCGATGTCGATCCCGTTGATCCATCGGCCGTCGCACGGGGCGCCCGCCTCCGGGCCGCCCGCGTGCGTGGTGAGGCACTGGTCCTCGGTGACCGGGTTAATGGCTTCGCAGAAGAAGCACCGCCAGCTGCCGTAGGGGTAAAAGCGGCCTTCGACGTAGGCTCGGTTGGCTGGGAGGGCGACCTCGTCCGCCTCATCCGCGGTGGCTGCCTCCATCTCAACCGAGACCTCCTCGTCCTTGACGACCTCAGCCTCCTCCTCCTGTTCCTCCTTGGCCAGGGGCTCTTCTCGCTCCGTGCGAACCTCGGCGCGCATCAAAATGACGTCAAGGCTATCCGCGGCTGGGTCGCCCGCGAAGAAGGAGTCGATCTCCTTGGCATGGAGATCGTCAAGAGGCGTCACCAGGTCCGGCGAGTAATCTCGCTTGGAGCGACGCTCGGCCAGGCGCCGCTGGACGTCGCTCTTCGGCGGCCCGAGGGCCCGCCCGCGCGGAGCGGCCTCCCGCGGAGGCCCGGGATCGGCCTCCTCCGTGGGCTCGCTCTTGGGCGTGGACCCTCCA